GCCAGATTGCAGAGGGTGGGGGTGCAAAGCCGGGGGCACGGGTGAGAGGCCCGTGCTGCTGTTTGGTGAAGGCAGAGGAGCGAGGCTCACTCGATCTGCTCCCTTCTTCCCCTCAACCCTGGCGGGAGCCCGGGAAACTTGCCTGCGGACCTGGCAGGGGGAATGCTTGGGGGGGTCAGGATGCTGGGCTGGGACTCAGTGCTCCAGAGGCTTTCCCAGCAGCGCCCTGATTCCTGGTGAATGGTGCCTCCCCCCGGCCTGTTTGGTGAAGGCAGAGGAGCGAGGCTCACTCGATCTGCTCCCTTCTTCCCCTCAACCCTGGCGGGAGCCCGGGAAACTTGCCTGCGGACCTGGCAGGGGGAATGCTTGGGGGGGTCAGGATGCTGGGCTGGGACTCAGTGCTCCAGAGGCTTTCCCAGCAGCGCCCTGATTCCTGGTGAATGGTGCCTCCCCCCGGCGCCCGTGTAGGAGCAGAGCGTGGGGGGACGGGGGCAGAGGGGCAGGTGAAAGACTTCGCCCCGTGCGAGAGCCTGACTCGGTTTCCTGCCTGGGCTGGCCGGGCCTGCGTTAGTGGTCAGGGACAGCCCACGCTCACCCCCCCTTGTTTCACGTGGCAGATCTAAAGACCCCAACGGACTCCTCAGTTCACAGCCCCTTCACCAAGCGCCAGGCTTTCCCGCCAGCCTCAGCCATGATGGAAGTGTTCATGCAGGACAAGCAGCCTGTGGGCACAGCCTCTGCAACAGGACCGCCTCCCCCCTCGTCCCCTCTGCCCGGCAAAAGCAACCCCCTTCCCCAGATGTCCCCGGGGTCGTCGGACAACCAGTCCTCCAGCCCGCAGCCCGTGCAGCAGAAGCTCAAGCAGCAGAAGAAGAAAACCTCCTTGACGTCCAAGGTATGGGATGGGTGGCAGCAGGGGCGTGCGGGGCTGCCTGGACTTGTAGCAGCCTCCCCATGTTGATGGCCGTAGAGCTGGACTTGGCTGCCCGGAGTCCGATTGGGCTCTTAGACGTCTGTGTTCTCGGCTGACCGGATTCGTATGGACGGCGGAATCCGGGGGGCCCAGAGCACCCCTAGGCCCTGGGGCAAGCGTGTTGGAAATTCCAGCAGGGTGAGGGCGGGTGTCATTGAAGTCAAATCCGGGGTCCGCCACCTCGGTGTCCGCCAGCCGCGTAGAGCCGCCGGTTCTGCTGCTCAGCTGACCCCAGGTCCCTGCTCCCCTCTCGCTTTGTGACGCCGACGTGCGGGGCCGGCCGAGGCCAGAGCCCTCCACAGGTCCAGTTTTCTCTGCCCTCCAGCGTCTGGTTTGTTAAAGCGGCTCTTCCTGCGGGCAGCCTGGCTCGGCTGCCTTGCAACGACGCGCCTCCCTTTGCAGATTCCTGCCCTCGCAGTGGAAATGCCTGGCTCAGCAGACATCTCAGGGCTAAACCTGCAGTTTGGGGCGTTACAATTTGGTTCGGAGCCTGTTCTCTCGGAGTACGAATCGACACCCACGACGAGCGCCTCTGTGAGCCAGGCTCAAAGCAGCCTCTACACCAGCACTGCGAGGTAAAGGCCTGGGGCCAGGGCCTGTGGGGGACAGGCAGGTAGCTGCTACGGGCAGCCGGGCCTCCCGCACTGTCTGGGTCTGTGGGCCTCTGATAGAGCCCCCCGATCTAACCCATGCAAGGTCATGCACAGAAACTGCTGAGGTTCTGGAGTCTCCTGTCCTCGCCTAGACTCGTGGGGCAGGAGTTTCCCGGGCGCCCCTAGATGCCAGAGTGCAGGCCTGCACTGTTGATCCTGGCCGGGAACCCCCTAGCTACTGCATACCAGTAGACCCTTTCTGGCTGGCCTCGTAGCCAAAAAGGGGGGACAGCGTATGCAACAGAAAGCACTTGAGTGGCCCGCGGACTCAGTCAGACAGGCCTACGGCTGATTGGCTCGCGGCGCTTGAACAAAGGAAATGTGGGCAGGTTTCCTGCGGCCAGGGGGGAGCGGGGAATCCCCACACACGTGCCTGGGTCCAGGGGGGAGCGGGGAATCCCCACACACGTGCCTGGGTCCAGGGGGACGGGCTGCGCGCGCTCGGCTCTTCCCGCTGCACGTACGGATTGCGGGGGCGTCCGTAGCAAGCCGGGAGAGAGCGGAGCCCGTATTTTCCGGGCACTGTGAGTGTGCCGTGTCGGGTTCAAGGGCCCTCCCATGCCACCCTGCTGACCCTGCTCCAGCGCTAGCAAGTGTACCGAGCCTTTCTCGTGGCGCGGCAGCATTGCTGTGATGGAACGGCCAAGGGGGCGCTGTCCCTTCGTCCTGCCGCCGTGCTGGAGTTGTCTGGGGTGGATTGAGAGCCTGTGTGCCCCAGGAGCTGCAATGTAAGCAGTGATTCCAGTGACACGCCCTGGTGAGGCTGGTGGCACAGTGGTTCACAAGTTCAGCTGACGTCCGGGTTCTGTGCCGCTCCGGCTCCGAGCCAGGTAGACCAGCGGCAAAGACCATTGAGGCCCATGTGTCTCCGGTTTCTGTGCTTGCCAGTCTGGTTTCAGAGACTTGTCCCCTCTCTCCTGATGGAGGACAGGGAGCTCTTAGCGTGTCGGAGGAACCTGCCTGTGCGTTGCCCACGCAGTTGTATATGGAGCGTTCCATCCCCAAGCCCTGCAGGGCCCTTGGCCCAGAGATACTTCAGGAGCCAAGGGAGCGCCCCCCCGTGGTGCGAACTCGTTTCGTTTCCTGGGGCGCTGTAAACTCCCCTTGAACCAGTGTGAACGGGGACAGGCTCGTAATTCTCACCGCACGGTGACTGGCCGAGGGTTATTTGATCAGGTGCAGCTGGTTAACCGCACCGTAAAAGCACCCTGCTTGGTTAATGATCAAACAGCAGAGGGTTTTAGTGCCATGTGCTGCTGCAGGCCGAGAGCCACTTGTGACTTGCAAGCCTCGCGCCGTGTCCTCGCAGCCGCCCCTCCGAGTTAGGCCGTCCTAGCTCCGTCGTACGGCTGGGAAGCAGCCCCGGCGCAGTGCAGTGACTTGGCCTGGGCCGTGCGGCCAGTCAGCAGCAGTCGGAGCTCAGGTGCTCCTGGTTCCCGGGCCAGTCCACAGCACCATAAGCCTCTTTCCGCGCGTGCCCTTCTGCCTGGTTTGCTCCGCGACCGTGCCTAGCCCCTGCAAGCAAAGGCTCAAGGCTGCCAGCCCAGCCAGGTGGCTTTGCAGAGACGACAAACTCCTTCCCTCCTTTCTGTGTAGTGAATCCTCATCGGCAATTTCGTCCAATCAAAGCCAGGAGTCTGGTTACCAGGGCAGCACGATACAGACAGCAACGTATACCTCCCAGAACAGCGCTCAGGGACCACTGTACGAACAGAGATCCACCCAGACCAGGCGATACCCAAACTCCATCTCCTCCTCGCCCCAGAAAGACCTGAGCCAAGCCAAGGTAGGGAGCTGGCCGTGCCTGCCTTCCGGGGCCAGCACCTCTGGAGGGCAGCTGTCATTGTGCAGCACAGGAAGGTTGTAAGAAATCCAAAAGCTGGTCGCGGGGCCCTGTGGATCCGAGCTGGCCAATGTAGGGACCTGAGAGCTCAGCTTCGCTGGCTTGTTGCAGGAAAGCCACCCCCCGCCTGAGCGAGGGCAGCTGCTCTGCAGGAGTGGGGCTAATGTCACCACAGAATGCGGCGGCCGACTGCAGCCTGGCCTTGCTCAGACCCAAGGGGGACTTTCAGTGGAGCGGTGAATGAGGGAGCCCCATGGTTCCCTGACTTCAGTGGAGCCAGGCTGCAAAACCTGC